CTTTTGACAAAATTCAACACCCATTTAGGATAAAAAACCCTACAGAAAATAGGCAAAGAGTGAACTTACCTCAACATAATAAAGGTCATATATGACAAACTCACAGCCAACATCATTCTCAATGGTGAAAAACTGAAAACTTTTCCTCTAAGATCAGGAACAAGACAAGGTTGTCCACTCTCACCATTATTGTTCAACATATTTTGGGAAGTTTTAGGCACAGCAATAAGAGAAGAAAAAGAAATAAAAGAAAACCAAATCAGAAAAGAAGTAACACTGTCACTGTTTGCAGATGATGTGATACTATACATAGAGAATCCGAAAGATGCTACCAGAAAACAACTAGAGCTAATCAATGAATTTGGTAAAGTAGCAGGATACAAAATTAATGCACAGAAATCTGTTGCATTCCTATAAACTAATGATGAAAAATCTGAAAGTGAAATTAAGGAAACACTCCCATTTACCATTCCAACAAAAAGAATAAAATACCTAGGAAAAAACGTACCTAAGGAAAGAAAACATCTGTGTGCAGAAAACTATGACAGTGATGAAAGAAATTAAAGACAATACAAACAGATAGAGAGATATACCATATTCTTGGGTTGAAAGAATCAATATTGTGAAAAAGACTATACAACCCAAAGCAATGTACAGATTCAATGCAATGCCTATCAAACTACCAATGACATTTTTCACAGAACTAGAACAAAAAATTTCACAATTTGTATGGAAACATAAAAGACCCTGAATAACCAAAGCAACCTTGAATAATAAAAACAAAGCTGGATGAATCAGGTTCCCTGACTTTAGACTACACTACAAAGCTACAGTAATCAAGAGAGTATGGTACTGGCACAAAAACAGAAATAAAGATAAATGGGACAAAATAGAAAGCCCAGAGCTAAACCAACGCACATATGGTCACCTTATCTTTGATGAAGGAGGCAAGAATATACAACAGAGAAAAGACAGCCTCTTCAATAAGTGGTGCTGGGAGAACTGGACAGCTACATGTAAGAGTGAAATTAGAACATTTCCTAACACCATACACAAAATTAAATTCAAAATGGATTAAAGACATAAATGTAAGGCAAGATACTATAAAATTCTTAGAGGAAACCACAGGCAGTACACTTTCTGACATCAATTGCAGCAAGATCCTTTTTGACCCACCTCCTAGAGAAATGGAAATAAAAACAATAATAAACAAATGGGACCTAATGAAACTTAAAAGCTTTTGCACAGCAAAGGAAACCATAAACAAGACAAAAAGACAACCTTCAGAATGGGAGAAATATTTGCAAATGAAGCATCTGACAAAGGATTAATCTCCAAAATATACAAGCAGCTCATTCAGCTCAATATCAAAAAAAATAAAAAATAAAAAATAATTAAAAAACGAACAACCCAATCCAAAAATGGACAGAAGACTTAATAGACATTTCTCCAAAGAAGATACACAGATTGGCAACAAACACATGAAAGGATGCTCAACATCACTAGTCATTAGAGAAATGCAAATCAAAACTACAATGAGGTATCACCTCACACTGGTCAGAATGGCCACCATCAAAAACTCTACAAACAATAAATGCTGGAGAGGGTATGGAGAAATGGGAACCCTCTTGCACTGCTGGTGGGAATGTAAATTGATACAGCCACTCTGGAGAACAGTATGGAGGTTGCTTAGAAAGCTAAAAATAGAACTACATATGACCCAGCATTCCCACTACTGGGCATATACCCTGAGAAAACCATAATTCAAAAAGAGTCATGTACCACAATGTTCATTGCAGCACTAGTTACAATAGCCAGGACATGGAAGCAACCTAAGTGTCTATTGACAGATGAATGGATAAAGATGATGAGGCACATATATACAATGGAATATTACTCAACCATAAAAAGAAATGAAATTGAGTTATTTGTATTGAAGTGGATGTACCTAGCGTCTGTCATACAGAGTGAAGTAAGTCAGAAAGGTAAAAACAAATACCATATGCTAACACAATATATGGAATAAAAAAAAAAAAGGTTCTGATGAACCTAGAGGCAGGACAGGAATAAAGACGCAGACATAGAGAATAAACTTGAGGACATAGGGAGAGGGAAGGTTAAGCTGGGAAGAAGTGAGAGAGTAGCACTGACATATATGTACTACCAGATGCAAAATAGATACCTAGTGAGAAGCAGCCACATAGAACAGGGAGATCATCTCGGTTCTTTGTGACCACCTAGTGGGGTGGGATAGGGAGGGTGGGAGGAAGATGCAAGAGGGAGGGGCTATGGGGATATATGTATACATATAGCTGATTCACTTTGTTCTGCAGCAGAAAGTAACATGACATTGTAAAGCAATTATACTCCAATAAAGATGTTTAAAAAATAAATTAAATTAAATAGAATTTATGGTTATGCAGTTAATTGAATGAACAAAGATAACCAAGTGATACTATCTGAGCCCCCAAGTTACAGATTTTTGATGAAACTAAATCAATGATTATTTGAATAATTTCTAAGTTCCTACCTGCTATGTATGATATGGGCATATTCTCAGAAAAGATGTTGTGGAATAGTCGATGAGGAGCTAAACATTAAATCACTAATAATTATTTTAGAATTGAAATTTAATTAATATACAAAATTTTACGTGCCTCAGTTCATCTGGGAAATAAGCAATTACTAATTTATTCCAGCATCAATATAAAGCTACATCTACATTATACAAAAATTCTGGAAAGTTACTAATGATTCTATAACTTGATAATCAATGTTTTCTCTATATTAGGATTATTTGACTAAATCTACTTAAAATTTATTTGATTTGTGGCACATTTACAGAATTTTAACATGGAAAAAATAAACTTCTTAAAACTACTTTTTTCTCCTGATTTCAGATTAATGTTGAGGCAAGCCTTAATGATTCACATATGTGAAATTATAATTTCTGATTTTTATAATTTCTTGCTTTCACAGATAAGAAGGAAAAGACAACCCTTTTTTCTCTCTACGTCATACCAGAAAATCCCTTTTTCTTCTGATATTTGTAATGCTGGAAAAAATATTTAAGCTCTTTGTATCTCCTACCCTGTAAAATATGAGGGCACCTGTGTTGTGGAAGATTGTGGAATCAGGGGATTGTTGAGATTTAATGAGAAATTGAATAAAAAGTTCTTGATATGACTAAAATATAGTAAGCACTCATTAACAGTTATTATTTGCTATATATTGTAATACAGTACTAAGATGTTGTTTTAGTAAAATAATATTATACTAATAGCATGAAATGTCTGCTGGAATTTCAGTGAAATTAAATAAAACATTAGGATTTGGTAAGGTTAAGCATTAAAAGTCATAAATAATACGAAATGAATTCAGGAAAACATCACATAGCCAATCTTCCCTATAATTAAACTCTACATTAGATTTATAATTTTTTTAAATGCTATGGTGGAAGCAATTGATGAGATTTTTGTAGTGTTTTAAGGTTAATTTTACATCTAAAACCTTATCAGTTGCTAATGATTAAGTAACGAAAGCTCTAGGTAATCTACTCATGGCCTTCTGTTTTATGTGAAAAGTTTGCTTGCTACAATACAGAATGTTGACAAAATTAAATTGCCAGAATATTATGTTCAAAACCGAATGCTTGGGGAAGAAAAGGCAATAAAAGAAAATATATGTATAAACTGGAAAAAAATCAAACCAGTCTTCTTAGTTCTGATTGCCTACTTTTAATGCAAGATGCAGATATCAGCATCATATTGAAATAGTTATCCAAATTGCTTATGACTCATGCATGACTACACAATTCATCAAATCAACAGTCAAGAATACTTTAAATGGACTCAAGATTCAAAAGTTTTAGTAGCTGAGTGAATGATTTTATTTTAACTGAAAGAGACCTATATAACTGAACCAAATTACTTATCTTAGACACAGAACAAGGCTGAGAATTAGGAATTCAGTCCATTGTTTATGGCTGAGATAATACATAGATAGAATATCATTATGCAGTGTATATTAAACAACTACTGGGATGAAATTTTACTAAGCCTTCAGAAATAAATTTACAATTATAGAATAAAGAAAAATATTTCTGAAACATGTCAGTTCTTCTAAAATTACATTGAAAGAGCTAGACCTGCTAATGATATTCAACATAAGAGAAAGTTTGATAGAAATTAAACATGTCAGTTGGGCATTTTAATGATATTCCACACTATGGTGGTGATAAAGTTACACGTTTGCCCTTTGAATATAAGCAACATGTATTAAGTACCAAATAAATTATACAACACTAACAATTACAAAAGTACCACAAATTAGTCATAATTCTATATCATGATATAAAATTAAAATCAAAAAGTAGTCTTGATTTTACACTATCTCTTTGTATTCTAGAGAAGAAATATTAGCTCCAATGAATGAAATGTATGAACTATAAGATTCATCAGTATAAATAATATCTAATCAATAGTATAATCTTCACTAGAAATTCTGTGCCAAAGGAAAAATCCTGAATTACAAATTTGGGACAGGGAAAAGAAGAATCATCCATTCATTCTACAAATATTTATTGAATACTAACTATTATATAGCTTGGGACTAAGTGCAATTGGGAATACAAGGATGGCAAACCATTATCTGTGACTTCAAGGATGTTACCTAAACTTCTTGTGCTGATCATTTTGCAATATATATAATATCAAATCATTATGTTGAACACCTGAAACTAATAAAATGTTAACATGACAATTATACCTCAATAAAATATTATGTTTTTAAATATATAAGTATATACAGAGACAGACAGATTGGAGAAAGTAATAAATAAGAGGAGAAAGAAAAATAATGTTAATTGAGGGGAAGAAAAGGGTATTAAGTATAGAAGAGTGGGTCTGTTGATTCTAATATGTAAAAAACTATTTTAATATATGTAAAAGCCTATATTTGTCAGTTTATAGGCTTGTCGATTCACCTATGGATTATTTCACTGCTTGATGTAGTAATCTCTGGAATGGAAGCTGCTGAATTGGAGAACATAATGGAAAAAAATAAGTTTCATGTGGAAGGAAAATTGTATTACTGATAACATCTATGGCAATATATAAGATGGATCAACTTGAAATTAATGTTTCAGAGAAATTTGATTAAATAGTAAATACATGTCAAAATGTAAAATTAAAGTTTAAAATCTATAGACCACAAGTAAAAGTCAAAGACTCTTATCAGTTTGTATAACACTTTTTTCCAAAGTTTTCTTCTAAAATGTTAAAACAAACAAAACAAAAACAGAAAACAAAATATTCCCTGAGTTTATTTTTGTGTATGGTGTTAGGGAGTGTTCTAATTTCATTCTTTTATATGTAGTTATTCAGTTTTCCCAGCACCACTTATTGAAGAGGCTGTCTTTTCTCCATTGTATATTCTTGCCTTCTTTATCAAAGCTAAGGTGACCATATGTGCATGGGTTTATCTGTGGGTTTTCTATCCTGATCCATTGATCTATATTTCTGTTTTTGGGCCAGTACCATACTGTCTTGATTACTGTAGCTTTGTAGTATAGTCTGAAGTCCAGGAGCCTGATTCCTCCAGCTCTGTTTTTCTTTCTCAAGATTGCTTTGACTATTCAGGGTCTTTTGTGTCTCCATACAAATTGTGAAATTGTTTGTCCCAGTTCTGTGAAAAATGCTCAAAATGGATTAAAGACCTAAATGTAAGGCCAGACACTATCAAACTCTTAGAGGAAAACATAGGCAGAACACTCTATGACATAAATCACAGCAAGATTCTTTTTGACCCACATCTTAGAGAAATGGAAATAAAAACAAAAATAAACACATGAGAACTAATGAAACTTAAAAGCTTTTGCACAGCAAAGGAAACCATAAACAAGACTAAAAGACAAGCCTCAGAATGGGAGAAAATATTTGCAAATGAAGCAACTGACAAAGGATTAATCTCCAAAATATACAAGCAGCTCATGAAGCTCAATATCAAAACAACAAACAACCCAATTCAAAAATGGGCAGAAGACCTAAATAGACATTTCTCCAAAGAAGATATACAGATTGCCAACAAACACATGAAAGGATGCTCAAAGTCACTAATCATTAGAGAAATGCAAATCAAAACTACAATGAGGTATCACCTCACACCAGTCAGAATGGCCATCATCAAAAAATCTACAAACAATAAATGCTGGAGAGGGTGTGAAGAAAAGGGAACACTCTTGCACTGGTGGTGGGAATGTAAATTGATACAGCCCCTTCAGAGAACAGTGTGGAGGTTCCTCAAAACACTAAAAGTAGAACTACCATATGACCCAGCCATCCCACTACTGGGCATATACCCTGAGAAAACCATAATTCAAAAACGATCATATACCACAATGTTCATTGCATCACTATTTACAATAGCCGAGACATGGAAGCAACCTAAGTGTCCATCAACAGATGAATGAATAAAGAAGATGTGGCACATATATACAATGGAATATTACTCAGCCATAAAAAGAAATGAAATTGAGTTATTTGTAGTGAGGTGGATGGACCTAGAGTCTGTCATAGAGTGAACAAGTCAGAAAGAGAAAGACAAATACCGTATGCTAACACATATATATGGAATCTAAGAAAAAATAAAATTAAAAAAATGGTCGTGAAGAACCTAGGGGCAAGACGGGAATAAAGACGCAGACATACTAGAGAATGGAATTGAAGATACGGGGAGGGGGAATTGTAAGCTGGGACAAAGTGAGAGAGTGGCATGGACATATATACACTACCAAATGTAAAACTTATAGCTAGTGGGAAGCAGCCGCATAACACAGGGAGATCAGCTCTGTGCTTTGTGACCACCTAGAGGGGTGGGATAGGGAGGGTGGGAGGGACGGAGACACAAGAGGGAATAGATATGGGGATATATGTGTATGTATAACTGATTCACGTTGTTATAAAGCAGAAACTAACACACCATTGTAAGGCAATAATGCTCCAATAAAGACGTTAAAAAAAAAATCTTCCCTGAAAAGTGTAACTGCAAAGGTATAATACTGAAAAAGGAAGTTTTAGAATTTTTTTTAATGCCCTCTTGATTAAGTTGTGGTTGATGATTATGGCTTGCCTGTGCCTGAGCTATTGGTCACCAGTGTAATTGCTGTACAAAGGAGGAGACAAATATTTGGAAATGTATGTTAAAATGGTGTTGAAAAGCAAGATTACAAAGTATTTATTTAGACCTGGGTTAGTTATCTCTAAAATTCAAATAAATAATGAAATGTAACAGTTAAATTCATTTACCAGAAGTACTCCTGTACTTCTCTGATCACTGCTTTAATTACAAATGATTCAATTAAAGTTAAAATTCCTTGGTGTCAATTGAAAAGAAAATATAAATTATTTTCAAAGAATTTAGCATAGAATTTTTTTCTGTAGCCACTTTCTTCCAAATTAGTAATATGCAGAATGTTCTTTTTAGGACACATGATCTCTGAATAGGGAAGAGGTTCTTCACCAATATCACAGTTGGGATGTAGACCCTGCTATTTGCCACTTAGAAAATAAATAAATAGAGAATGACAAATTTGAGAAAAGGGCCAAATGCCTGAGTTGCAAATTCACTTTGATGCTTATTTAGAAGCTAAAAAACAAATAAGCATTATTTTTACCTGCTTCAGCACTTAGTATGGAGGTAGCTGTTGTAGTAGAAACTGTTTAGGGAAGAAAACATTTATGAAAATAAATTATTTAAATAATTTTGCTGGAAAATTTAGTTCAAGAAACCAGTTGCCATAAACTTTATAAAAGTTTCTGAAGTTGTATGCAGAGGTTAATTAACAAAACAATCTTTCATTAAATCAATATGAATACCACTGTATACTTGCTGTATGCGCGACAAAAATAACTATTTTCTGTTATTACCACTTAACCAAAATCTCACAGGAATTTTATAAGGCAGGGCCAAGACGAACCCTGACATGTGATACCTTAGCTTTAGGAAAGTAACCAATGATAACTAAAATAAATAACACTTCACTGATGACCACATACTAAATACATTACCAAAACCTAAGGTTTCCAATTTACTATACTACCTCTTAATTGACACCACCTCCAAATAATGATCAACAGGAAATAAATTCTATCCCTGAATCATACAAGACAGGAATGTGTAAGTGTACTGTAGCAACTCTAAGTACACTTATATCACCAATGTATTACAAGTTCTAAACCCAAAGTTAAACTGCATTTTGAATGGACATAACTGAAATACTTGCAACAAATACATGAGTTAAAAATAAATTAACTTTTATTTCTATGTTTTCAAGTCATCTCCCAGTATAATCATGATTTCAAAATATTTACTTCACAGGAGATCACATTTACTTCTTTTTCATTCCACTTGTTCCGATTATCATCTAAAAATGTCAAGTTTTGGATGATTATATTTAACTAATAAGCATACAATACCTATTGTACGTTCTAATCATATTTCTAACTTAAATCACAGGAGTATAATGAAATAATATTTTTGACATATTTTCTAGTAACTGTTAATTTTATTTGTTTGTTTGTTTTCTTTGCGGTACGCGGGCCTCTCGCTGTTGTGGCCTCTCCCGTTGCGGAGCACAGGCTCCGAACGCGCAGGCTCAGGAGCCATGGCTCACGGCCCCAGCCGCTCTGTGGCATGTGGGATCTTCCTGGACCAGGGCATGAACCTGTGTCCCCTGCATCGGCAGGCAGACTCTCAACCACTACACCACCAGGGAAGCCCAGTAACTGTTAATTTTAATTTGAAATTTTATATCAGCATATTTACCAGCATCTTTTGCTGGCACAGATTCATGTGAAACTATAAATGATTATCCATAAAAAGACATCAGAAATACACATTTAAACCATAATGATGATTTTACCTGTAAATGTTGAATTTGTAGGAGCAGTTTCTGAAATAATCATAAATTACTATTATTGACAGGAATGAAAAATTGTGAAAAAAAAATCTAAAACTCAAGTTGCCTATGAGTTATCTGGCCTTTTTTATTTCACTTCTTGCAATTTCGAATGCAAAAAAGGAGTCGTTTATATATTCTTTGGAAGCTTATGAAAATTTCTTTTTAAGATATACGTTGCACATGAGTAATCCTTCAAGTATTTAATTCTATCTATATAATCCTCACCTTCCACTCCATCCCTTTATTAAACTATTTTAGTTGATGTCTCACTCCCTTAATTCCCAGAACCTACAGACAGGCAGGAGTGTGGCAGGAGAATTGCCCCATTTACCAGTGGTTCAAAGTGCCATGACAGCATTGGTTTTGAACTGACCCAATATGAACAAATACCCTGAAATGGAATTGTCTCAGTCCACTGAGGAGCAGTCTAAAGCATTAAGTACTTACTCCTCTGCTGTTGGTGATATGAAAAGATTCCAAACCCTTTACCTCATCTTTCCTAAATTGATTAGACTAAAACAGAGTGACTCACCACTGCACTCCAACTCTCCTGCGATGCAATAGCTGAAAGTTAAATTATAAACAAAAAAGAAACAATCAAAATATAAAACAAGAATTAGGTTGAAATTTTTAGCTCCTAATTATATACATCTCCCAAATTTAAAATAACAAATTGTCTAACCGTGAAAATCAAAACAGAACCAAATAAGAGAACAGTAAATAACTGTTTCCCCAAGAGCATGCTGTGGATTCAAACTGTCTTTTTGTTTTTTTGTATTTTTCATGTACTGTTTCCTAATATTTTCACTGAGGAGTTCTTGGGACCTAAAGGAATGTTTGCAGTCAAGCTGTAAAGTTAGTTCTTAGATTTTAAGTTTCAAACATGACTTTTTTTTGATGGCCATGCCGCTCTAGTACAGACCTCCCTTCTTTACTTCCATCACTGTCTGAAAGTATATAAACATGATCTTACATTTATGGAATGAAAACTTTCTTTTTACCCAAAAGTACATAGTGACATTTTCTGTTCTGTCTTATGCACTAAGTATAAGATTTAACAAACCATTTGTTGTTATGTGGATTTACTGAAGACACAAAATAACCAACAAAAGTGATATAAAACTGAACCTAAAGCTGACCTTCCCATTTAGAAATAACAGTTAAAAGATATATTCACTGATTTTTTTCTTAATTGTTTTCTAAATAAAAATGGAAGAAACAGAAATACTGGACAGTTAGAGAATTTACCATGTTCTCCCACAGTTATCTTGGATCACTCCACCAGCAGGTATGATGTCATTATAGAAGCAGCTGCACTCAGACAAACTGACGCATTTCATGGTGTTCTCATCCAGGAAGGGAGCACTGTCCGGACACTTAGCATAACAGCCTGTGTGTAAAAATGACCCGCAGTTCATCTCTATTTGCTGAAACTACATTGTACCTTTGTAAACTTACTTCAATGGTTCCATGAACCGAAGTAGATAATAGCAAAACAACAGCATATTCTGAGTGAAAAATATGTAAAATTGAAACAGCCACTATGGAGAACAGTATGGAAGTTCCTTAAAAAACTAAGAATAGAACTACCATACGACCCAGTAATCCCACTACTGGGCATATACCCTGAGAAAACCATAATTCAAAAAGAGTCATGTACCACAATGTTCATTGCAGCTCTATTTACAATAGCCAGGACATGGAAGCAACCTAAGTATCCATTGACTGATGAATGGATAAAGAAGATGTGACACATATATATAATGGAATATTGCTCAGCCATATAAAGAAATGAAATTGTTATTTGTAGTGAGGTGGATAGACATAGAGTCTGTCATACAGTGAAGTAAGTCAGAAAGAGAAAAACAAATACCATATGCTAACACATATATATGGAATCTAAAAAAAAAAAATGGTTCTGAAGAACCTAGGGGCAGGACAGGAACAAAGATGCAGATGTAGAGAATGGACTTGAGGACATGCAGGGGGTGAAGGGTAAGCTGGGACAAAGTGAGAGAGTGGCATGGACATATATACAGTACCAGTTGTAACATAGATAGCTAGTGGGAAGCAGCTGCATAGCACAGGGAGATAAGCAAGGAGCTATGTGACCACCTAGAGGGGTGGGATAGGGAGGATGGGAGGCAGATGCAAGAGGGAGGAGATATGGGGGTATATGTATATGTAGAGCTGATTCACTTTGTTATACAGCAGAAACTAACACACCATTGTAAAGCAGTTATACTCCAATAAAGATGTTAAATAAATAAAGATGTTTTGTTAAGAAAAAAAAATTGAACAGGATCCAGACTTTCTTGCAATGAATATAAACCTGAGAACTTAGAAATTTTGGCTGATTTAATTTTTTTCTAAAATGTTTCCTAAAATATTTTAAATGATTTACTACTTTAATGACAGCCACGATGTTGAACATAACACAAGACTTGGATAAATATGGGTCTTGAAATGTGAATGCCAATTCTAAATATCTACTTTCACAAGGGTAGATGAAGATAACAGAAATCATAGTAAAATGGGCTGAAAATATCTCAAAGCCTGGGATTTAACACAGATGTGACTTTTGGAAAGTTTCTGTATCATCTTGTTTTCTTGCCACTTCTTTCTTTTTCTCTAAGATATGTAATGCTAGGAATAAGGCAATTTTTAACTGTGAGATATAGTTAATTGGCCTCCATTCAAGTGAGACTATATTATATGTTGCATTCTGAAACTACATTCTCAACAAACTACCTTGTCTAATGAAATGTATAAAGATTGCCAATGCGATCAGATCGTTATGTTCTCCCTATCTCTCTCTCTCTCTCTCTCTCTCTCTCTCTCTCTCTCTCTCTCCTGTTAAATAGATAATTTATGTTTAGACAAAATGTTTCTAATGTAGAAATATTAATATCATAATAAAGATAAACAACTATTCATTAAATTACAAAATGTAAGATACTGAATTATCAGTATCCTAAAATATTTTCCAGTTTTAAGGTATCAATATAATTTGCACTTCTTCATGGAAATTATTAAAATATATCTTACCTTCTAAAACTGCAGAAAACTTCTGGCCAATTACTCTATCTTTGCATGTTTTTGCAGTCAGTGTACCGCAAGGTTCATAATGCCAGCTGCATTCCCCAGGTGCATTATAATAATCACAGTAGACAGCTATGATTGAATTATATCAAATTACTTGCATTCATTATATGACAATTTTCAACTTTCATTTTCCAAAGCATTTTTATAAGAGTCTTTGAATGATACTAACAATAAACAGAACTGAAGTATATCATTCTGTCTTATCAAGTCCCTTTGGCTTTATCTAAATTGCCATATGAGCAAAAACAGCTTACAAAAAAAGGAGGGAAAGCATATAGAATCAAAATAGCATTTTTCTTTGACATCTCACAATAAGATTGGTTTGAGGTGGAAGAGTAAATGTTAATTTTCCCATTTTTTAGCTATTTTAGGTCATAGGCTATATTCATGGTTTTAATGTCTAAGCTTAAATGAGAAAAATAATCTCCAGGGAAATTAAGCTTCTTTAATATGTAAATAACAGTTCCCAAATGAGGCAACTAAAGATTTCAATATAATATATAAAGCTGTACATAATAAACTAAATAAAATGAGGATTCAATTTCAACATTTCTCATTTGGCACATTTTCTCTTATCATACCTTCCTTTGGAAGGAAATGTGTTGACTAATTTCTACTAAAGTTACCACATTCCACACATAACAAAATTCAGTTTATATTCATTTTACAGTTCATCTTGACTAGAACTCTGTAGAACTTTTCAAGATGATGTGTGAGGACTTCAACCAAAAGTGATATATGAAGTAAATATTTAAGAATATATAACTATACCAAGATAGGTAAACAGTTCATTGTTCATTTAAGTATGAATAAGAAATATTTTCCATCAATATTCAATTTTCCCCTGTGAACAGAACTTTTGAAACTAAAAAATTAGAATTTGATGTACTGTGCCAGGTGCTATACTTTTTTAAATAGGTATTTTTTTCCAATCATAAACAAACATTAACATGTGTTTAAACCTGTCTATGCATAAGAATATGTATTTTATAGAAAATATGAGGAGAAGAATGGTTGTCTAACAAAACAATTCTGTCTGATTACGTTTTAAAGAACAACAACACATGAACTTACGACAGAGATCTGGTTTTCTCCATGTAACACAGACTCCAACCGCGCTGCATGCTTCTGCGTACATCGCCACAGCTGTGCAGAATCCCAGGTACTTCCCCTCCATGTCACATGCACAAGCTTCTTCAACACATGCATCATAGTACGTACTGGGGTCCACCTAGGAAGACCATGTTAAAGCAAAAATAGAAATGAGATCTTCTTTTCTGATAAACAAGGAAAATAAGAAAACAATGAACAGACTAGGGAAACAATATAACCGCACCTGAAAGAGTTAAGCAATCTTGGTTATTCTTTAGCTGTTACTACTAACAAACACTTGTAGCTAGACTTGTCCTTCACAAAGCTAGTTACTCTCTGACTCCATATGAATTACCCTTTGCACCTGGCATTTCTTCTCCCCTACACTCCCTTGTAGCACTCTTCATTTCAGAAAGAAGGTCACAGGCAATAACTTCAGGGACACCAGACCGGGTTGCTGAGCCACCTGAAGCCAGCTTTGGCCATGAATTTGCAGAAAAAAAGACATGCAAGACCTTAATTACTTTGAGCCTTATCACCTACCCCAGACCATGAGCCCCAGGCTATATAACCTTTCCCTGTTCCCCAGGGAAGGGTGGCACAGTTCTTGAGGCACTAGCCTGCTGTGTTTTCCCCTTTGCCAGACAAAGATTAAAGCCATTTTTCTCATTGCTCCAAAACTCTGTCTATGTATTTCTTTTCACCATCGGTGCACAGAAAGCCAAGATTTTTGGCATCAAGCACAGCACCTGGGTACCTGAGAGCAAAACCCCTGCCTGTTATTGCTCTCAGAGCCCCACTACCTTATTGTGGCAGTCTCTGAAGGTGCTGTCCCGGATGATCTCACATTTCCGCACAGCCCAAGCTTTACAGTATGGGTTTGAGTCACATGGGAAGGTTTGAGCTACTGTGTCTGAACATTCTTGACTTGTTTTCCAACTATTTCCAAATTCCAGTGCTCCAGCAGCTACTGATGAGTATCTCGTTGTGAAATCATCCTTAAGATCGCCATTGTTATTTCCACAAAGACCACACACTTTGCCCTATATAGATCAGAAAGGGAACTTTAAAAGTGAGTTATGCTAGAGATATATAGAGAGAAAGATAGATATGGATAGATAGACATATGATAGAAATATTAAGATTGTGTATATTATAAATCTATTTTAAATTCCAAATTTTGGATGGAAACCAGAATCTGTGGATAAGATTCTGCTCCCATTTAATCCAAGATATCCTATATTTCAGTACTGACCAAGATAAATGCCTTAAGAATTTAAAAATAATTACATTCACTAGCTTCAAATCATACAGGAGTATACTCTTAGGTTCTTAGAATATTTGTTCCAAGGATTACATTAATTCTATCTATACACCAAGGAACCACATATGGCTAAACTAGAATGCTTCAGGTTTATTGCATTTATTTTTCACCAAATTCTATCATCTTTGATTACATTTAATACTTCACGTAAGGTTGAATAGATGTGGAGCCTTGTTCTATAACAAAGACTACCAACCTCCCACTTTCCACATTTGAATATGTCTCTAATCTTCAGCAGCAAAAATGATTTTGCTTCTATTGTTATTTGCTTCTGTTATATTATTATATATATGAATGTGATATACATACATTCCAGCGTGGATCCAATAACACAGAAATTCTTGTATTTTTGTCCCAAATTATGGTTATTCCACTTAAAATTTTCAAAATCAAGTACAGGCCAACGGTATGAACAGAGTATGAATTTCCACTGAGTTCACATTCCTTACTTTCTGTATTTTTGACTGCTGTGATTTTACCGTCTTGCAAGACAATATTCTGATCCTATAAATGAAAAGATAGACTTACAAAAACATTAGTTTTATTTGGCAGTGCATGATCTGAGAGAAAAAGAAAGTAAAGAGAAACAGTACTGTACCTGAAAAGCAACTATAATTTTTCTTGAGCATGTAAGTCCATCTTCACAACACGGGATGCTTTCAGTTAAAATACGGAATGTGCCATTTTCACGACCACAATAATCCTTTAAAAATTAAATGTTAATAATAGTTTATTTATATCAGGGACATGGAACTCAATTACAATATTTGTATCAGACAAACATTTCTTAGACGGTGACACCTTATAATCAATAAATTACCATATGTTTTGTTATGGAATTTCCAAAAGACAGTGGTGTAAATGTGTTATGGGTCTGTAGCCTTTGCTGAGTCCAAACTAGTTAACTTGTTTTGACTGAGTCCTTTTCCCATTACCTCTATACAAGTTTAGAATTATACCATAGATGTATATATATTTAAATTGTGTAAGTTTATAGTCTTAGATTTATTTCTAGGCTCTGCAAATAGCTAGATAAGATTTATGTGAAATTTGATATTCAATCAAAACTAATGCAAAACAATCCAAATTTCACCCTTTACATGTTACTTAGGAAGCAGTTTAGGTGTATGGAACAAGGATGAACTCCAGAATCAGACAGATCTAGATTGAATATAGCATTTTCTGCTTAGTAGTTCATGTTGCTTAACCTCTCTAACCCTCAATTTCTTCATCTCCATCATAGGAATAATAATATAAGCCTTTTATATTTTAAATAATTGAATGTAATAAAATATATAAATTTGCTTTGCAAAAAGCACTAAAAAAATGTAACTGTCATTGCTGATAGTGCTGTTGTTAAAATAATGACACCTAACATTTATTGAGCATTTAGTACGTGCATCAATATTTTCTCTACTGTGGTTTCAAGTAGGGGCTACTTCCATCCCCATTTTATAGCTAAGGAAACTGAGACACAGAGAGCTTAAGGAATGTGCCCAAAGTAAGTCATACATCTGAGAAATGTCAGAGCCAGGAATGAAATCTAGGTCTACTGCCTCCAGACTCATCTTTACATTATGTTACATTTTACTGCCTTTGAGAAACATATAAGGGGCCATTTTTTTTAATTTCACATTTTGAGAATAAAATACTCCAGAGTTCATCTACAAATAAATAATAAGTAAAGAAAAATTGTGATAAAATACACTTGCAATTACCTCGATAAATGAATACTGGCAGAGACCATCAAAGCTGTAACTTTTTCCATCAAAAGATCTAACATGCCCTTCCCCATAGATATGGCAGGTGGTTTGACATTCATTTTGTGTACAGTTCCAAGATCCTTTTATGCAAGTACTAAAAGAAAGCAATGATACAGTGTGGTAATTATATTATGTCAACATTCATATACTCATATTGTTTTTGTAAAGAAGCACAAAACTGTTTCATATTGGCTTAAATTTTGCAGTTTCTTCATTACCTGATGTTCATTGTACACAATGCTATGTAAAATTTCTATTTTAAAGATAGCATTTTTTCTAACTACATTTGACCATTATTTTTCAAAATATCCCAAAGTATGACTTCTTTCCCATAAAAATCAGAGCAGATTGTCCACTTTCTAATATCCAAAACAAATAAAGTAGTAATCTTTTATTATGCACCATTTGTTGCAGCCAACCGAGGTGACACTTCCTTGGTCATACTCTTGTCCACCAAAAGAACATGGGCAGTCATCAGGGAAGACACAGTTCCCTTTAGAATTTCGAACCATTCCTACAGGACAGTAGCATCCACGCTTGCAAGGCAAGTTCTCCTACAGAAATAAATATAAAATATACACCATGAGGCACTAGTCTAAATACATCACATTATCAGTTTTAATTGACAATGCAGAAATATACCAAGTATACATTTAGAGTCAACATTTGACAAATCAAAATGACACACAAAAAATAATACGACCTTCTAATTACTTTTCATTGATGTTTTAATTTCCTTCTTCACTGAAACAAAAGTTTTAAAAAACTAAACTCTAATGCCATGTTACTTACTTCAAAACTAGGTATGTTCCGAGTGCTACAGATACTGTCAACTCTTCTCTGTGCCTTAGGATTCCTACAGTCAACATATTCAGCCCCTCTAGAACAATTCTCTGTGGAACAAGGGAAGCTGTTAATCAAGGGCCCCTTGATCTGCTTATTTTAACCAAAGTAGATATCTTAAGCATCATGATTTCAAAACTTACGTAGTGTTAAATCAATGGGAGTCTGGCAAAGAAGAATTCCATCTCGACATACGCTGGAAATAAAAGAAAATGATACTTTTTTTTTTTAGGCTGTGCCGAGCAGCATGAGGAATCTTAGTTCCCCAACCAGGGATCAAACCCGTGCCCCTGCATTGAGAGAACAGAGTCTTAACCACTGGACTGCCAAGGAAGTCCTGGAAATGATACGTTTAAATAAAATTCCAATGGCAGCTTCTTAATAACCCCTACAGCAACTTTAACCTCTCATTCATAAACCACCTGTTTTATCACAAATAACAAGACCAATGAGACACAGTCCCCCAGAAGATGCATAAAATGTACCTAATTATAAGATATAATCCTGTATGTATTATAGAAATGTACAAACAAGGTTCTTATGGACATACAGAAAACTTCATGGAAAAGATGGCTTGATCTTGATGGATGAGTAAGATTCAACAGATATTGCTGATAAGATGTAAAATGTGACAAAGGAAAGAACAAGGTATGTTCCGATGACTTGTTTGATAGAAGGCAGGATACATTACAGGCAGAAGTACTAGAAGTAAGTTATGGCCAGATTTCAGTTAGTCTCAAATGACATGCAAGTTTGTTTCTATTATTTATTATTTTATTTTATTATTTTTTTTTTGCGGTATGCGGGCCTCTCACTGTTGCGGCCTCTCCCGTTGTGGAGCACAGGCTCCGGATGCACAGGCTCAGCAGCCATGGCTCACGGGCCCAGCCGCTCCACGGCATGTGGGATCTTCCCGGACCAGGGCACGAACCCGTGTCCCCTGCATCGGCAGGTGGACTCTCAACCACTGCGCCACCAGGGAAGCCCTGTTTCTATTCTTTAGGCAACTGTCACCATAACAAAAGTGTTTGAGCAGATAAGTGATGCAATCAGAATAGTGCTTTAGATTTGATATTCTAGTGGTAGTACAAGAAACATGAGACAGAGACAGAGAGAGACAGGGCAAAGAACAGCCAAGTTAGCTCTCACAATAGTGCCAATAAGAGGTCTTAGAGGTCTGAAACAGGATAATGATGAAGGCAACCATAATTTGGAGGTGCTGGCCTAAGTTTTATTAAAAAGGTAATGTACAGATTCCCCAACTTCTACAGGGAATGTATCATTACCAAACCCCAACCAAATGTTTTACATATTTGATGAAAAAGAGTTGATACACATGCTTTCCTTTAAAATGATGAACAAAAATTATTCATTGCTAAGTGATATCTTTGTGGAACTAAAGAAAAGAGAGAAGGTGCATCCAAAGTTTTTTTGGAGCAGCTGCTTCAATTTTGCAGTTATGTTTTTAAGAATTGCTATTTATGTGTATCGAATTAGAAATGTGGATAGACTGCTTTGCCCAGACTGCAGAAATCACAACCTTCTTAACCATTACAAAAAGTTACAATTCTTCAGCACCTCCTACTGCCCAGGAACAAAGTTCAAACTTTTGAGTATGGCCTGGTCACTGCCTTCTTTTCCAGTGTAATCCTGTGCAACAACAGCCTGCATGTGCAATACTTTTTCAAACATTTCCTATATCAGTTCATTCTGTTTACTCCACTAGAAGTCACTCTTCACAGCCCAATTTTGTCGGGAAGATTCATCCCTTAGGAAAACTGAAATGCTGGTCTCCTCTGAGAAGATTTTTTTATCTCCTGCAGTAGCAACTGGCCCTTTTTGGTACCATATGATAGTATACAAACCTTCTTGCTATATCTGAGTCCAAGACAATGCTCACTTATCTTTGTAACTCCAGGGCTCAGCACAAAGCATGGCACACAGTAGATATTTATTGAATAACTCTTTGTTGAATGACAAATGCTGAGAGACAACTAGGAAACATTGAATATAAAATCATTTTGCATTGTCTGTATGTAGTAGTTGCTAGAATATTTTTTCTACTGTCATTTAAAACCAAACAAGAGTGGGATAAATCAGCGATGGCCATTACAGTGTAGTGAACACTCCAGGTAAAAGAGGTAATATCTAACTTTAATAAGAAATACAAAATTTTAAATATGATAGGTCTAAAGAAGACTTCATACTAGCAAAAGACTATTTCTCTGAAAAGCACAGTCCCTTGATTTCAAAGTCATAACAAGTATATTTGTAATTTCCATACCATTTATTGTCATCAATATGGATGAGTTTGCCTGGTTGCATGACCTCGTCATTTATGTAGCAGTCACACTGAGATTTTGGAACACAATTTCCTTCATTAGTCTGGTACATTCCATCAGGGCAAGTGCATCCATCAACTAGAACATCTTCCATATCGCAGCTCCTATCTCTCTCTGACAATGATCGGCAGGAACTATTGCAGGTTTTAACATTGTACCTGAAAACTAGGCCACTTGGACAAGATTGATCTGTTGGTATAGGGAAAAATAGTCAACATGTAAAGAGCCAGGAAAATTAATAATCTTACCTCAAGTTGGTGTTTATAGGTATTATAGTGAATTAATCATAATTGAGATTATGAATAATAGAGGAAAAGCTACCTGTCCTTTCTTCATTCTTTTTTTCTGTCATTATTGAGACACTTCTATAATGTTTACACATTCTGCTGAGAATAAAACTCATAAACAAGATAGGCAGTACACTGCTCTCCTGTAGCTTGTATTCCTGGGGAAAGGACAATTGTGCTGCATGCTAAAAAAGCAAGATAGGAAGGAAGCTCTAAGTGTGTACAGCTGGGAACCTGCACTTAGTGAAAAGGAGTGGGTAGATGGACAGCATGAAGACAGCCTGGAGAAAGGTAATTCTATGTCTGGTAATTCTATGTCTAAATTACAAGAGAGGGAAATTATTTCAAAAAGCAAGTAGAAGAATAGAAACTATAAGCCCAGAGACAAGTAGCCTTTAGAACTTGCACGACCCTTGTAAGCAGCTTGGTCTTTAGCCTAAAAGCAATGAATTGCCATTGACTTGTTTTAGACTGGAATGTCACATGATCACGTTAGTTTTATTTGGCTTTACTTTAAAGATTATACTGATTTCTCTGCAGAAATTGGATTAGAGGGAACCAAGACTGGATATTAAAGGAGGCTATTGCAATCACCCAGGAGTAAAAGTGATGGCTTTTGAACTAGGTTGGTGGCAAAAGAGATGGAAAGATATGAATGTACTTGAAAGAAATTTTGGAGGTGAACTTGGCAGACCTTACTGATTGACTGGATATTGGTTATGCAGTATTAAGCTTTATCTATAGAGATGTGTTTCTACAAAAGATTTTCTTTTTTGTAAACCAAGTACTTCTCTGAAGTCGTATTTGAATAGTGCAATAAACATTTTTTTTTCCATTAAATGAAGGATTTATCAGCTTTCTAATAAGAATTTTTTCACTTTTTCTTTACTGAGTACAGTTGATTTACAATATTGTATTAGTTTCAGGGTACAGCACAGTGCTTCAAAATTTTTATAGATTATACTCTACTTTATATTTATCACAAAATATTTGATGCATTTCCTGTGCTATACAATATATACCTGTAGCTTATTTATTTTATACAGAGTAAATTTGTACCTCTTAATCCTCTACCCCTATATTTTCCCTCCCCTTTCCCCACTGGTAACCACTAGTTTGTTCTCTATATCTGTGAGTCTATTTCTTGTTTGTTATATTCACTAGTTAGTTTTATTTTTCAGATTCCACATAAAAGTGATAACATACAGGGCTTCCCTGGTGACGCAGTGGTTGAGAGTCCGCCTGCCGATGCAGGGGACACGGGTTCGTGCCCTGGTCCGGGAAGATCCCACATGCCACGGAGCGGCTGGGCCCGTGGGCCATGGCCACTGAGCCTGCGCATCCAGAGCCTGTGCTCCGCAACGGGAGAGGCCACAACAGTGAGAGGCCCGCGTACCGCAAAAAAAAAAAAAAGTGATAACATACAGTATTTTTCCTTCTCTTTCTGACTTTAGTGTAATAAATATTTTAAAACAAAATAATATTTTTTTTCTGGCCGCGTGGCAAGAGGGATCTTTGTTCCCTGACCAAGGATCCAGCCTGTGCCCCCTGCAATGGAAGTGCAGAGTCTTAACCACTGGACTGCCAGGGAAGTCCCCAAAGTAAGATTTTGTAAACATAGTAGTTGAGCCCTTAGTTTACTAATTTATTTTTCAAAATAAGTTATTAATATTTGACTATCAGTTAAAAATGCATGTCAGAACATTATTTATATTTCAACATACAAAAGTTGAACAGAAACATATATTTATATATAAATGCATATATATTCTGTTCTTGTTAAAATATGAATGTATATAATCAAGATAGAAGAAATAAACCAAGAAGTAAATATGCAAGGATTGCAAGAAACATATTTTTTGAAAAAACATAAAATCATCTTTGAAAGAACAAAGTACAAACTTGTAAATACACATGCTTAAAGTACACCTAGACACACACACTCACACACAACTGTTGTAAAACTGAGAAGAAAGTAGAGTTATCTAAAGCCTCTGCTTACCACAAAGCCCAGCTCTCCATCCTATCATGTAAGTTTCCTTCTCAGCACATGCTTTCACATAGTTGCCTAAAATCGTGCACAGACAGTCTTGACTATTTTCACAAGCACAAGTATATTTTATGCATTCCTTTAAAATAAGAAACAAATTTATATTACATTATGAAAATATTCAGAACAGGAAAACTGTGTATAACAAATCAGTTCACAACCACTCCTCTTCACTGAAAAACGTATGTCCTTGAAACTTTTGGAATTACTTCTTTTCAAAAATATACAAAATAGCAAATCAATTATTAAATGAGTTTTCCAAGAACTTAGAAAAGACAGAAAGAGAAACTTATTCAAGACTTTTCTCATTTGGGGTTATTTTCCAGTACCTCTTTTTGTTTTGAGTTGGTATATCTAACAATTGAATAAATTAGTATAATCCAATGTTAAATTTAAACATATATCTTAATCTACTGACAATGGCTGCTATTTGAACATTTTTAATATCTCATGCTTCTTTTAATATTATCAAAATATTTCTCAAAAAAAGCTGTTAATATTAGACCCTTACATACCTCTTGATATGGTTTAGGGTCCACAACTGAATGGCAGGAAGCAAAAGGCCCACCCAAATCAAGAAGAATTCCACAGTGCCTTTCAGCAAACCTTTCTGGAAGAAAATTAATGAACCACATATTAGATCAAAAATGTCATAATTTTTTGATTAAAAGAGAAAGTGTAAATTTTTAACTTTTGTCTTTATTAAAACAATTGTGTTTTTAAAGTGTTTTGCCATAATTTGTTATCACTGTATACAAAAATAGCATGATATAATCAGAAACTATTTAAACTTAGAGGCAAATCTTTATTAGCTTTGGACTTTTATATTAAATCAGTTAACATTTTCTGAAGTGCAGTTTCTATATAAAAATATGAATGAGGGAACCAGAGTATTTATTTACGTGCCTTTTAATTTAAAATACATATTTATGTCAAATTATGAAATGTTAGTACTCTCACCCAAGTAGGTCAGATCAGTGTTTCTGAAGGTCATACATTAGGACAACCAGTATCAATAATTCAGATATGTTAATTTTATTTTTAACTGCTTAATTGATATTTGGTTGGTTTATAAATAACTAGTCTCAGATTAAATTAACAGAAGAGAAAATTCACAAAAATATCATCTGAGTAGAAAATGTTTTGCCCAGTGATTTGCAGATTCTTTTTTTTTTTTGACATCTTTATTGGGGTACAATTGCTTTACAATGGTGTGTTAGTTTCTGCTTTATAACATAGTGAATCAGTTATACATATACATATGTTCCCATATCTCTTCCCTCTTGCGTCTCCCTCCCTCCCACCCTCCCTATCCCACCCCTCCAGGAGGTCACAAAGCACCGAGCTGATCTCCCTGTGCCATGCGGCTGCTTCCCACTAGATATCTACCTTATGTTTGGTAGTGTATATATGTCCATGCCTCTCTCTCGCCCTGTCACAACTCACCCTTCCCCCTCGCCATATCCTCAAGTCCATTCTCCAGTAGGTCTGTGTCTTTATTCCTGTCTTATCCCTAGGTTCTTCATGACTTTTTTTTTTCTTAAATTCCATATATATGTGTTAACATACGGTATTTGTCTTTCTCTTTCTGACTTACTTCACTCTGTATGACAGACTCTAGGTCTATCCACCTCATTACAAATAGCTCAATTTTGTTTCTTTTTATGGCTGAGTAATATTCCATTGTATGTATGTGCCACATCTTCTTTATCCATTCATCTGATGATGGGTACTTAGGTTGTTTCCATGTCCTGGCTATTGTAAATAGAGCTGCAATGAATATTTTGGTACATGACTCTTTTTGAATTTTGGTTTTCTCAGGGTATATGCCCAGTAGTGGGATTGCTGGGTCATATGGTAGTTCTATTTTTAGTTTTTTCAGGAACCTCCATACTGTTCTCCATAGTGGCTGAACCAATTCTTAAGTATGATGACCATGACTAAGACAAACATTACTAAAATTTTTTTTAACTATTTGTTGATTGGCCTTTAAAAGTTACTGTCACCAGGAAGCAATAAAGGAAGATGACTGAACCTATTTAAAGGACATTGAGGCCAATTATGAGGCCAAACTTGCAAACAGGTATCACTGTTTTTTTGTAAACATTATTAACATCTTATTAAAGTATAGTTTAATTTTCTGTATTTTATTTTATTAAGTTATATATAAAACACTGAAAATTGAGTCATTTACATATCTCTCAAAATTGTTAACATATAGTCTGCTTAACATAACTTGGCTTGGTTTCTATGAGATATATATGTTTTTTACCTATCTCATTTTTTCATTGCAGCACCCACAAAACAAAATAACAACAATTAAAACCATGAAATATGCATTACCATGTTGATGTTAATGCATTTAACAGCTCATCTTTTAAATCAAAACAAATAGATGAAACTTTCAAAAGGAATCACTTTAGTAATTTTAAAATATTATTAAAAACTGATCAGACATTTGTTTCAAATATGCAGATTAATTTAGAAATAACTAATTAACATATCATCATAATACATCTTAACTAACCTTCTGTCACATTCCATTACTTATGAAAGAAACAACATAAAGTGAAGTACATATTAAAATCAGCAATACTAGGGGAACAATCAGAGAAAGACTTGGACTCAAAACACTTGGATTACACCTTATTAAGAACACCCTATCTAAACTCCATTATCACCATCTACATTAATGGAGATAATAACCTCATTCATGTCCTCCATGAATATTTGTGGAAATAAATTGAACTAATAGGTATGAAAGTATTTGGTAAGCTAAAACATGAGCTGAATCATACAAGTGTACAGTTTTCCCATTAAGATCTATATTTGGGGTTTGGTATACATGATGGTAATGGTTAGGAGACCTGGATCTAACTATAGCTGCATCGTTAAGTGTCTCAGCAGTTAGGGTGAGTCTCGCTCTTCAAAGAAATGATGAATTCTACAACTAAATAAAATAGGAATACTAATAAACTAAGTGATAGGTAAAGTCTCCTCTAACCTTATTATTCTATAACCATGGAGAAAACTGTATAAGGAGGAAAAGAATAAGTACAGAAAAAGACAGCTGTGTCTTTCCCTCCCTCCATTCCCCAATGAGACATGTTTTCTAAGAGTGTCATCAACCAGCCCGATTGTTTCTCGCTGTTCTCTCTAAAACTGGGACAGTACAACAAACACTAGCTGAAACCAGGATTATCTGGTAGTCTCATATTATTACCAGAATAAGTTTATAATTCCAGTACCAAATATCTAATTACGGAGTTTGATGTTCAATTAACATTACCTTTTTCTATACTGATGCATGAAGCAGTGTTTCCTTTAGGACAAGGCATCATTTCCCAAGAATCAGCAAATGCCTGAGATGTCTTCTCTAATATATTCTGACTTGACATGAAATCATCCTCTGCTCTGTTGTTGTAGGAACCACAGAGTCCTGTATAGAGCACAGAACAAATTTTAGCATTTTTTCATCTTCTTTTTGGATTCATATTCAGTTCTTTGCTCAAATCAAAACATGTATAAACCACCTGAGAGTATTGTCTTTCTTATCTGGACCCTTCTGAACCATGAGTTACATTTTTTTTCTCTGTATAAATATCACCTTCTTAAGCAAAAGTATATTGCAAAAATTTAGACGGTTTTAAATGAGTAACTGTAGGATTTGCCATCGTTTCTTTGTTTTGTTTGACATTTGGACAGTATGTAAGAGCTGATTTCTATAACAGAAAAACTCAATAAAAGAAATGTAATCTACGAGCAGAAAGACAAGTTATAATAGCTTGTATTTGAAACTTGATTTTCAAAAGATTTATATGTATAATATTTTCATTTATTCTTCTACAAGTCAAAGCTTTAGTAACATATATTAGCAAAATGAAATAACAAAAATTATCAAATCTCACTTAATAAATCCTTAATTTAAAAACCTTAAAAATTTTAAATTGTTGAAAACCATTAGGAAATAGATTTTGTAATAAATAAAGCTGTCCTCACTGTATGTTAGAATTATTTTACTGCAATATGGAAGGAAAGATTAAGTAAAAATGCCTTATGGTCTAATGTCATTAATTGAGACAACTGAAAATTATACTAGGTGGTTACAAGAGCACCTTGGAAATAAAAACATATTTAGACGACTTACCTACGGTGTCTGTGAATTGGTTGGGTGGCATGGAAACATATAATTGCATCACAGGAACAATTTGTATTTGCAGTTTTCCATGAAAGTATGTTTCTGCTTGAAGGTATGAGGAAGATGCATTGGAGATCTGTATTTTTTCTGTTAAAGTAATAATTTATATTAATAGCAACAATTGACATATTAAATAGTTTTTGATTTCTTAAAATGCTTTTATACTTTCATAGATTTTAAAAAGCAGAAACATTTAATATCCTTAAAGATTGAATAAATTAATGCATTTTACATTTATTTTTAAATGGTATTATTAAACTTACCTGAATAATAATAACCTTGATTTCTAATCTTGTCATTTGTGACTGTTCCATCTCTATTGAATATGTATTTTTCAACTGGAACAGACTAATATTTAAAACACATTGTTAGTTCATATTAATTTACAATATTAATTCATTTTAGTGTAATATATGAACCTAAATTTTTTTCCATAAAAGTTTAATTGTAATGGATTAATTTATAAATATCTAAAATATAGAACATTTTTAAAGCATTTCTTATATCAATTCTTTGAGGAGGATTATAAAGGACTTTTCATCCCTGATTTGTAGATGAGGAAACCAAGACCCAAGAAGGTAACTTGGATTTCCAAAGGTCGAACCACGTGTAAGTACCAAAGATCAAGCTAGGTGACCTCCCCCCCTATATAGGTCATCTCCACTTAAAATGATAATTCCAAATACATGAAATTCTAAACAAATATAAATGTCTTCTTAAATGGGCCATAGATTTTAATAATCGAATAAGCACATAAGGCTGACCTGTAATTAACACATTAGTTATGTGTCTACGGTAATTTTGATATACTTAAGGATCCTTGGAACTATCCAGCTCTTCCAGAGACTTTACCAATCTTATTTATGCTTTTAATTTACACAGTAAAACCTCTCTTTTACAACCTGAAAATTCTGAATTTGTGGAGTAACTGATTCGATTTTGCTTTAGGAATCTGATTACTTACCGAATTCAAGAGGAGTGTAACACTATTTAAGCACGTTCCTGACTGACCACTTGGACATGGACGAAGCTCAACACTAATGGACCAATCTTTATCCTGTTAAAAAATGCATTTCATGTAAATGTTTATTAAAATATCATTGAATATATGATATTACTATGTGATTCATTCACAATGCATGTTTGCATTTCAAATGTGCAAAAGGCTTACATCTTATCAGTCTGCTCTGAAACTAGAAACCTAGTTCAGTCAATGGCACATTCTAGGATTGGCCAAGAGCTTTACAGATGGTCCAAGTTTCTTGCATCTAAGATTACCTAAGTAGTCTATAACTGGTGGATTTTCATAGCATTTTTTTTTTCTTTTAGCTTTACTTTTCGTCTTCTCCACAGGAATTGTGCTGCATTATTGAGACCATTAGGACTTGGAACATAGCTTGTTTATTCTCTGGAAAAATCCATGATGTCAACTTAAATCCAATGAGAGAGGTATTTAATTTGTCAACCCATAATAAAAGTCATGCCAAACATTGACTTCCAGTTTTCATTTCAAGATCTAGGAATCTCTAATCTATAAGAAGCAAATATTCTATATACTTTGACATATTTCCCTCTCACTTTGCCCATCCCCTATTCTCAAGGATTATGTGAGGAGTATTACAAAAAAGGAAAGAAGATTTGGGAAACTGACTTTTGATAGCAGCAACTACATTTTTCAGATTACTGGTCATTGACTCACATCTCTCACTTCAGGAGTCACAAATTCTGCTCATCTTTGTTTCTGACCAGGAAGATTCAGTAAAATTGCCTGTTCTCATGCTAGCTAAAGGTACAAGCTACAAAATAGAATCATCCTTTTATTGAAATTCAGATTACTTAAAATTTTAATATTGAAAAGAGTTTAAATGTAAGGATAACCTCTATCATACTGTTATATTATAAAAACTAAAAATAAATGTAAAAGAATAATGATGAAAGAAGAAGATGCTTTATGGAATGTAAAAGATAGTTTCATCTGAGGCACTAATGAACACATACAAAGAAAAGTAGAAAAAGGAAAACTTTTCCCAGTGTATTTAGAAAATTATTAGTAATGAAGGAGATTTTGATTATTTTTGTTTATCAAGAATTTCTAAGGAGCACAGGTAATAATCATTGTCAATGTCAATATGTGACTGAAAGCAGATACTAAAATACATAACCAATGATTGAAGAGCTGTTTGTTATTTTTAATAGTAAATAAAGATGAAGATTGTGCTTTAAAATGGCTGAGAAATAGTTTGATGTATCAGTTTTCTCAAGTGTTGTAGACTATTACATACATGGATGGCCAAAAAGTGACAGTTTCCAGGATGATTGTATTTAACGCCATCAAAGGTGGTAATCAAACTTCCTTCCACCTTACATCTTCCAGGACATAACATTTTAGTGCAAGACCACTTTGCTTCTTGGCATGTGCTGTTAAAATGCAATGGTTATGTTAAAGGTCATCAATTATGTTTTCTCTATGGTGAAAATAAATAACACAACATTAAAAAATCACAACTTAAACTACGACATCTAGTTAAGTTTTCTTACACCATTTTCATTCCCCACCCAACATCTCAGCTTTGACAAAATGTCTCATTGACCATGGTATCCTGGTATTTTAAAATACTTTAATTCCATTGACCAAAATAATAACTTCTGCCTGCATTAAATATATAAAAACTTGTAAACTGGATTTCAGGAGTTTGTTTAAATGGAACACATTTCACCATTATATTAAAACACCTGTTACATGCCACATTACAGACCTGCCCTGTCCAATATAGTATAGAGACATTGCTACTGATTATGTGAAATGCGGCTTGTCAGTCCAGATTGAAATCTGCTGTAAATGTAAAATCACACAGAATTCTAAGACTTAATATGAAAAAAATTGTAAAATCTCTCAACATTTTATACTAATTTCATGTCGAAATGATAATATTTTGGATATGTAAAGTACATGATTATAATTAATTCCACTTGTTTGTTTCTTTTTGCTTTTTAAAATGCATCAACTAAAAGTGTTAAATTATATATGTAGGTCGTATTTGTGGCTCACATTATATTTCTCTTGGACAGCACAGCTGTACACATTCAATAAATCATAGCTCTTGTTATTCATAATTATTATTAATATATTATTACCAGACTAACAGAACATTGCCTATTTATTGAGAAAATATTACAGTATAAATAATATATTAGTTTTCATTGAGTCAGTTTATTTCCTCACAAGGACACAGTACATTCTAGAAAGTCCTCTGAAGTCTAGCAGATATGTGGATTTTCAGAGAAAAGGCATAATGAGGAACAGGGAGATCTGTCTGTTCAGAATATTGTTCCTGAACGCAAAAGGAAGAATCAAGCTATTCAACTAAAAGAGAAATAATCTACACTAACTTTTGGCACATTAAAATCCTATCTAGAGGTTTGGAGAGCACTGGTTTAATGGGATACAATTAGCAAAGTTTATATTTTTGTTATTGCTGTTGCCTCTTCCCTTTCTCCCCCTCACCCCATTCCTTTCCAGCCTTTCCCAAAATTTGCAAAGCAACTTTATTTTCCTTATGAAATGTAGTAATGTGGATAAGCTTTACACCAATACTTCTTGTGGCCAAGGTGAGAGAAAGTACCAATAAAATGTCAAAAGTATAGAATCTAAAAAAAAAATCCTATCTGGATTAAATGTATCTTCACCAATGTAGTCTTATATAAAAATTATTTGAAAAGTGTTGGGTTGTTTCTAATTGTATATTTTTAAATATTCTTGGAAATTAGCATATTGTTTCATTATTGTAACCATATTTTTGTATTATGCTTTGCTCTGTTTTGCAACCACCAATTGGTTTACTATTCAAAACACTATTTTACTTAGTAAAAAAACATTGTCTTTAAAAGATACAAAGAAAGCTCATATATTTTACATAAAACACAAAACTTTCCTCAGAAATTGAAAGACAGAATATCAACACAGAAAATGCCAGAAGGTTGCTTTTTTTTTCTGAAAAGTTTATTTTACATGTGGATTTAGGGAATTACTTCAAATTACATTAAAATATTAGTATTATGTCACTATCAATAAACTGTAGACCAAAAGCACACACACATACCACTGAGAACCACAAGAACCTTCACGGATTTCTCCTGGCTGATACACCTTTCCATTAGATTCACAGGGACAGTCAGCCTTCAACACGCATCTCCCTTTCTCTCCAATATCATCCAATAGATAACCTAGAGTACATTATATAAAGTTAATCTTGAAACTATATAAACATCAGTAAATTCTCAAGCAGTGTGTTGCAAAATCACTTTTGAGGTTGTTCTTTCAAGTGTAAACATGCACTTAAAATGATAATTTCTATTTAAGAAATTTGAGACCTGGCAAGAGTATAGACAATTTTCAGAGCCACAGAGCAGTTCTTTTGAGCCTAATACAGAGAGAGCGAATCATCTGTGCAGTACCATGGCCCTCAGGTATTGTAGAGACAGAAATGCACATTAACTTTAAAAGTCTCTCTACCCCTCCCCTGCAGTATGCTAGAAGGATGGATTATAAATAGGTTATAATTTATTCATTAAATATCTTGTTAGAAACAAGATCCCACTATAACTGAGTTACTTCATTTTCAATTGTTTTAATGTAAATAGTATTACCTTCTGGGCAGGTGCAGCCACTCACACATTCGATGCCTTGAAAAGGAGCCACATTAGAACAAGTTGCAGGATTCGAGGGACCACATTCTTTGTAGATATGTTTTTCTGGGCATCTAGGTTTTTCTGGAGAAATATAGAAATATGTATACATGGAAAATAAATATGATAAATACATAATATTCTAATGTGGATCTTTTCAAATAGGATTCTTTGAGTCTACTTTTCAAGATATGTCAGTTTTTAAAGATATTCAGTAACTAAATTATGCCAGTTTCCTATGCATTATTTTATGATACAATATTTAATTCAAAGGAAATGTATATTATATAGTATCATTTTACCTTACTTTGAAATTGATATTCTATTTGTATTTTAACTTATAAAGATTGAACTAAGTGTAAATGAAAAGTATATTCATATTTGTATGAAACACATTTAGGTTTTCTAATTTTCTGAAAAAAATAATTACTCATCAACATACTTTTGATAACTTTTTCAGTTATTTTTTACAGAGTTTTTACAGAATTTCACAGAATTATTCATTTTTCCCAGTGAATTTTACTGATTATAAAGTTCCGAATTAAGATCTTAACACACGGGGCTTCCCTGGTGGCGCAGTGGTTGGGAGTCCGCCTGCCGATGCAGGGGATGCGGGTTCGTGCCCCGGTCCGGGAGGATCCCGCATGCCGCGGAGCGGCTGGGCCCGTGAGCCATGGCCGCTGAGCCTGCGCGCCCGGAGCCTGTGCTCCGCAGTGGGAGAGGCCGCAGCGGTGAGGGGCCCGCGTACCGCAAAAAAAAAAAAAAAAAGATCTTATAACACAAAGCTTGTAGCAAGTAACCCCACAAAATGGACCTCAGTTTCCTCACAGGTACGTGTCAGAGACAAGATTATGGTCTCTGAGGTTTCTTCCAGGGCTTAAGCATTTGAGAAGATTACTTTGAAACACATCCCAACTTTAAGTGCTATAGAAACTTCCTGATTTGGAATCTACAATATATTTGAAACCTACCACAAACCACATCGGGATCATCTCTCCAGGATACATAGGCGCCGGGACCATCTGATGAACAGAGGCGGGACAATTCTGCATAAGTGTCACAGGTGGATTTTTTGTCTCTACTTTGGCAGTACTCATCAATGCAGATCATTTTGTAGCTGTTGGATAAAGTGCCAACCTTTCCACATTTCTCAAAGTAGGTTCCAATAATTTTGTTACAGTGCTAGGAAGTAAAGCATGAAGTTTTAAGAAAACATAGGAAAAATGAAGAATCAAATGAGTATTTTGGGAAAGATAAATTCAGAAATTTATTTTGCATAATACCCTGTAGCTTTGACAGGAAAAGTTCTTGAACACTGGTTGAAATGGGGAGTTTTGAATTATTACATTTGGTACAGTGACTCCTAAAAGAAAACTTCACCTCTGATACTTTTGATTGCTATATAAGGACTTCAAAATTTGTTGTACCTAAACTCATCCAAAATTTCTCTAAAAGTGACATGAAGTTTAGAACTTGAGAAAATGAAAGGGGTGAGAAAAGGAAAGGTTGTCAATGTCAGAGATTGGGATGGTGAATGATTGATAGCACAATAGACAGAGGGATATTAACCCTTTAACTGTCAGTCTGCTTATATTTGATGAGCAAAAAAATGAAATGGACTGATTCTGTGCTTTCTTGGTGGGGGCCATGTGAGTCTGCTCTGGAAACATCATGTTGTTTAAGGAAGTAAAGACATATTGTCAAGCACAAAAAGTTCAAATTTCAAAATATTTTAATTATCACATAGCTTTTTTGCTATCTTAACTATGTTTGTCTTCAGAGAAATATAAAAGCTACTAGCAAGCAAATAACACAGTTTGCACCAAATAAGCCCCAGGACAACTGATAACATTCTCTAAGTGAGGTATAAAATTAAGTGAAATTAAATCTTCAAAGATTGTTTTTTTTTAATGTACTATTCTTTGTGTATCTTTCTCACTAGATTACATGTTTCTTTGGAGCAAGAAATAGAACTTTATAATCTCTAGGCTTAACACAATGTCTTGTACATAGTAAGTTCTTACTAAATACACGTTGGCTTTAATATAAATTTGTATACTCATTCAACTAACATTTTTGAGCAACCAGGCATAAGTTTTCACACACTGTGCAACAGTAAAACCTAATCTCTGTCATCACAGAGCTCATAATCTCTTAGGAAACATGTGAGAAAAACATGAGGAATTTTTATAGATCATAAGTACCAATGAGTGACATAGGGTAACAGAGGAAAGAGAAAGCAATTCTAACTGCAAAACTCAAGGAGCATTTCACAAGGAAGATAGCAGATGACCTTAGTTTGCTTTGCTAAAAGATGACAAGGTGGTTATAAATATAACACCCATTGTCAATTAAAACACAAGTCTCTTCTACCTATACTATTCATACACATCTTGGTCTTGAGAATTTTGTTCTAGATTGAAATAAGAATATGTGAAAATTCCTTCAGTCATCAAATGAGTGCAATCTACCAAATTCAACATTAAGAGTTTCTGCAAGTGCAGAAAATTCAGAATAAATGATGACTATTTTCAAGTGGTGTAGTCAAAAAGATTATCTGTAACTTTTTCAGAAAGAAGGTAAAGTACACTGGAGATGACAATTCAGACTGGCTATCTGGGGCGAAAGTAAGGGAGTGAGAGCAGAAAGTAGTTCTTAGGAATGTACTACAGGGATTTCTAAACTGTAAGAGTCAAGTCAGTCCTTATTAAGAAATAATCATGGAGAGGTGAAGCATGTCAGTTTACAGACCAACTAAAACACTGTTCAAAGGAAATTAGAATTGTTACACTCATATATAGTAAATATCTTTTTTTTTTTTTTTCTTTTCTTTTTTCGGTACGCGGGCCTCTCACTGTTGTGGCCTCTCCCGTTGCGGAGCACAGGCTCCGGACGCGCAGGCCCAGCGGCCATGGCTCACGGGCCTAGCCGCTCCGTGGCATGTGGGATCTTCCCAGAACGGGGCACGAACCCGTGCCCCCTGCATCGGCAGGCGGACTCTCAACCACTGCACCACCAGGGAAGCCCCAGTAAATATCATTTTTAAAAAACACTTATTTTAGCATCTACAGCTAAACTAAAGCAGAGAAACAGACCACAGGGACATTGGAGAGGAAGCAATGGCAAAATTCTAATAAGGTCTGAGTGTTAGAAAAGGATGTTGGCTATCCAAATTGAAACCAAAGGGAATATTGTTGAAATCTGCTATTAAATGAAATATATATTTCTTACATGCACTCCATCTTCACAAACTTGATAGCTTTTGGTAACAGCTTTGGGACAATTACCAGGAATTTTACTATTGTCAATGTGCTCATTAATATCTTCTCCTTGAAAAGAAAGCAATGTTAACTTCAAGATATTCATTTTATATATATATATACACATTATTTTCAAGATAAATATGGATGTGACAATATAAATATATTTTTTTATTTTAACAATTTCTCATTCTATAGACAAATGCAAATTGTTAATTGTTAGATTTATCCAAATATGAAGAATTACTTTATAATTTCCTTTTGGGAGGCAATTTTCTTAGACAAAATGCATTGAAATCTTACCTGGAATGCTGTTGAAGTTACCACAAAGACCACTAGTTGGATACTGCTTGTGAAGAGTGAGCTTTAAAAAAAGATTACGTGTATGTTTATAAAATATTGAAAATATCTCAAGACAAGGTTTAACCAAACCAAAAGACAGGCCCTCTTCATGTTCAATTTTACCTAAGCTGGTTACTTAGGAATGTATTACAGGGCCTTTTCTAAAGGATTTAGGTTTAGAATTTGGCAAGATCCTGACTTCACTTCTTACTAACTCTGTCTTTGGGTGGATTATTTAACTTTTATTAGCCTGAATTTCCTGAGTTCCATCATCTGTAAAATAAGATTAATAACCATATTTTAAATATTAGATAATGCTTAGTACAGTGCCTGATACATAGAGATTTCTCAATAAACCTTAGCTCTTGTTTTCCTTATATTGTATTATTTTATAACTGAAAGTAAAGAACAAAAAGCACAAACTATAAGAAGATCATAGATGGACTTACTGAGAGTTTATTATTTTCAGCCCACATTAAAGACAGGATTCCTCTACGGCTATTCAGAACATTATGTTCTCCATATTTTTTAATGTGAATCATCTTATTGTCATATGGTATCCGTACACTGAAAAGTATAAAATACAAGTACATATAAAATGTGTAAGAACAGTATTATTACATCATGTTTTTTTCTGGTAATTCATGTTTCTATATTTAGTATCATAAATATAATACTGCTAATAAATAGTAAAGTTTTTTTTTCTGATAATTTCAGAAGAAGAGACACAATGGCTTTCATCTGATTTTGGAAAGACTTGTAAGGAACAATGAATAAATCTTTGAGGCTTTGGAGAAATGAACAAGAAGAAACTGGTCCATTATAAGAATAAAATGATTAAATAATTTGAAATGTTCACAAGCAGAATATCATGCCTCATTTTCTTATCCTGAAAAATATTCAAATATGTTATCCCTTCCAAATATAAATTGCTACTTCTAAAAACAATGGCCTAAGTTTCAATGTATTGTAAAAGCTCAAATTTTTATTTAGCATTAAACATGCAAATGAAAATTGAAATATTCTATTAACAGTTTTGTTGAATATGCATGTTGCCCCAAATCTAGATACTCAAAATAGTCAAACAACAGAACTACTCTTTTTTTCCCACCTTGTGATAAGAATAAATATAATATCTTATAATCCCACATATAGCAAAGTCTTATACATTTTACAAGAACTTATTATAAATATCAATATAAGCACCAAAATAGGAAAAGAGTACTATCTCTCCCCTAATCAACCTTTTATTTTCTTTTTGCTCAGGCTACTTCAAGTAATTCTATAGCCTTTATTCAAAACACTGTGACATTTACCTTTCTCCATTAACTAAAATGACATCGCCAGCAATAGAGATGACATTACTGTCTAATATAACTGTTATTTTTTCAATCTCACTATCATTGTTTCGTTTGATCTCAATATTGAAATCTCCTCCAGATTCAACACAGTGACGGCAGAAACTATACGTGCACGAAGACTCAAAGGAAAAGACATGGCCGTTGAAAGCTTTATATGCTCCTTTGCCCCAAGTAGAAACTTCACCTACAAAATATTTAAGGTGGAATATTCATTATTATTTAGAACAATTAATGTAGCTTCTAGTTTCGGTTTTTTAAGTGTTTATGTACCAAGACAAAAAATCACTGAAAGGTACTATTCTCACATCCACCTTAAGTCTGTACTTTTCTTTCTTATATACTGCAAAATGTGCTAAAAGTAATACCTGAGTACTTGCAAATACCCAAAGTTGGCTAAAACAAAAAAAGAAAAACATCTTGTTTCCCAGTGGAAAAGGGAAATTGTCTCTACTACGGGAAGGGATATATGGAGGGAAGCTGTGGTCTGTTTGCTCGTTTGTTTTGCTTTTTGTAGAGCTAGTTTTTCTAATGTTGTCTGAGTGGGTTATCATTAATATTAAATAAGTATAAAGAATTATATTATTTCTCTCTATACATATATGTGTATGTACATATGTATGTGTGTGTATATATGTTATGTGTATGTGTGGTGCATGTCTGTGTCTGTGTGTATAAAACAGATAGATGATGGAAAAATTTTTTAAACCAGTTTCAAATTTTCGTTACTTTGAAACCTCATTAGGTATTGGTTGTCTTGGTCATATAAATATGGATATAAATCAGAGTCATTTTTACTTACCAATAGTTGTGTTTGTTTCTGAGTATTTGGGGGTTGCTTCTGGAATATGGGTTCCTTTTCCTATTCAACACAATGCATAGATTACTTAAATTTCAAATATATATTGACTTTAAATATACAGGATATTTGGTCTTCTACATGGGAATTTAAAAGTTGGTATTGAAGGCCATCAATAGGTTTTTTTTAATCCAAAATATATAATTTGATTTTGTGACAACTATGATTTGTCAAAGTCATATGTATGATTATCTTTGAAGCCCATATTTCTTCTTGTAGCAATCAGCCACAATATGTTCAGAAATCATTAACAGTTTATTCATTTGGGGTCATGTACAATTAATAACATATGCTGCATCCCTTATAGAACTATATTTTCAACTTCAAAAATAGAATATTTGTAGTCTATTTTTATTGGAAAATGCTACCCAAACAGGCCCAAGATAGATTTTTATTAAATCAGCCTGCTGTATAATACTAATAACTCAATCATCTACATATAAAAATAATCAGTTCTCCTGATCAAAGAGAAAAATTCATAACCTTGAAACTTTGTTTCCCATTATCATTTATTTCCAATGCATGGACACTTTTATGCAACCAAACAAACACATGAAGTTTTAGAACAAGGTTTAAAAGCAAACAGAATAGAATAGTAACAACAATTTTAAAAAGTGAACATTTTCATAGAATTTTAAAATATTTTTCACAATGCCATTTATGTATATCTTGAGGCCACTTCTCTTTGCCCAGGTTGAGTGATAATAGATTAATTAAATTCTTAATTTATTTATAAAATCATTCTTTAGATACTATATCTAAAATGATAAAGGGGAAGTTGCATTGTTTTATTTAGGTTCTATTAAGATATAATTTAATCTTTCTTATTCAAAAAATTGTCTCAAATATCCAATTGGTCATCTAAATTTTAGTACTGGAAGAGGAGAAGCACTCAGATGTTCAATGCTACATGAGAAACACATAATAATATCAAGCCCTAGCAAATCAGTAATCAACAGAACATCTTACATATACATTATAAACACTGAACATTAAAAATCAAACTACCTGGAGTGCTGAGTGGTCCAGAAGTACTGTAGTCAGATGAGCTTGTGACACCTATTTAATACAAAATGATTAGGCTGTTTATGTGTATAATTTTATCTGGTAAAATATGAAAAAAATATTTTTAGATCTGATGTATAAACCATAGATCCAAGTTCAGCAATGGTAATGCTAGCAGACTTAGAACCACGTGAAGGTATATAAGAAAAAAACATTATCAACTCAACAACCTGCTGGAGTAACAAAATTATAAGCCTCACTACTAAATGAACTGACACCAAATTACTTTATTCCAGATAAATTGCCTTAAAACTTGTTCAGGGAAAGA